ATGATTTTTACAATTGTGGTAGTATTTTACAGCTTAGATAGATAGTTTTGTTGACATACACTGTGACTTTGACACACAATTTACCTTGAACTGTTAGATGTGTTAGATCTGTGTAGCCTGCCACTTGTTGTGTCTTTCCCCACATTTTTTGTAAAGTTTAAGTCATGATAATTAATTTCCTTTGCTTTGGGCCCTCGCTGCTTGGTTTACAGCAGTTTTGTATTGGTAATAATGTGATCATGAGTGCAATTTGGTGTTAACTAGCACAAAGACAACCAAATTGCATGAGCTGGTAGGGCAAGTGCAATTTGTAGTCTTTGAAAAATTTACAAGACTGCTTATTACACAAAATGACAAGGGAAAGTATAGTATCACTCACTAATAAGGTACATGAAAAAACATCTAAAAACATCACTGAAAGTCAAGACAGACAAAATTTGAAAGCATGCAAGCTCAATTTGTAATTTGCACTCACTTGTGTTACATGAGAATGCATTCATTTTCAGCCAATGAGAAGAGAATAATTTTTTTAATTTTAATTTTAATAACTAAATTTAGATTAATTTTTTCATGTATAGTTTTGCATGTACCTCAAAACTTTTATTTGTGTTCTGTGTGGTAGCAGAGATAGTGGAATATATACGTCAGATGTAGTTTGTGAATCAAAGATGGATGTTGATGACACTCAAATATAGAGCTAAAGTGACTTAATTGAGTTTTTGTCTGGTTCATCTTCACTTTGGGTACAACTACGAGGAATATTAGTTCCCTTTGCTGGTACTCCACATTACTCTTGCCACTCTGGCTTGATATAAATAGAGATAATTAATTCATTAATAATTTACATGAAAAAATTACACATGTTTCTCATATAACACAAGTGCAAAGTTTTAACAGAAGTGCAAATTACAAATAGCACATGGGTGCAGCCAAAATTTCATCCGTTTTGACTTTCTGTGATGGGTTTTTCATGTAAATTACTAACAAGTAACAACATGATTTCTTGTGCAATTTGGTTTAAATAAGCACTGGTAAATTTTTCAAAGACTACAAATAGTACTTGCCCTATGGATGCGTGCAATTCTATTTTTGAAAAATTAATTCATGTTTAGTAACACCAAACTGCATTCAAAGTCATGTTATTTATACAAACAGGCCAGTATGGTCAGCTAAGATCCTTGGGTGTGGCAAAATATCACGATTATAGTTAACCACAGGCTAATCAGGTTGTAATGCAGTCACAAAGTTGCTAAATATG